CTAGACCTGTTATGTGTTCCATATAGTTGCAACGTGAGTGCGATGCCATCTTTGCAATAGATTATAGAATATGCATCCATAGTGCAATACTAAAACATAAACTTAATTATTCACACTCTGGGATACCTGCACGAATGCACTTCTCTTCATACTTTTCTTTTGCATTTATTTATCAGCATGACTTGGGAAGCATCTTGTATGCAAACCAATCTTGTAAATTATGGATCATGCCTGTAAAAATGATGTGTACATGCTCTAGCAGAGATATATCACCATTGTTATTATAACTTACAATTGATGACCAGCTTTAAGGAGAAGACAAGATGAACCATCAACATTTATCTGCAACTACTGAACTTCGAGAGGAACACAGAAACACGTAAAAACTAGACACACTATAGGAAACATACTGGTTCATAGATATGTAATGTTGGGTAGGATATAATGGATGTTACGACGAAATTGTCTGCTTTGTATGAGTCAATTGTAACAAACGGAATAGCATGAAAAGCCGTCAAAAGTGTTTTGTTGGATAATATTCTCATTGCGAGTTCCTTTATAAAAGTTTCGTTTGAATGTGTATGAAATCTATTTCCGTTACACACATTTGTACTGTAACCTTTTGCTTCACTTCTAACCGTATATTTATTTCTCTGAGTCGCTTAGGTTGAACATTCTGTTGGTTTTTAGATTCTAGATGTTGCTGACATCTTTATAGGTAAATATAATTTTATTGGATAAACTGTAAGTGGCCTATCCAGAGAAAAGAGAATGGTGTTTCTACAATAATAGAAAGGTTTTTTCGCCTTATCAATTTTTCTAATTAATATAATTTAATCATTTGAATTATTGGGCAATTACTGGTTGAATAATCGGATAGGAGTAATTGTTCGGGTGATAATGTACATTTAATTTTATAACTTTATACAGAATCGTACCTTATTCAAAAATTCGTTTGAGATTTCGACTGGGCAAGAGCGCGAGTGACTGAAAAAAACACATATCCTGTAAATTCATAAATGCGTTAGTTTAGAATTAAGTTATCTTATCTCCCTGTCTAGTAATTTAATCCTTACTCAAGGCTATTTTGAAAATATTTTTTATCGTCCTATTTATCTAGGCCTTTATTATTTAACTGTAATTAATATTTACCCTCATTATTTAGTTTTGTTGTGCAGAGTCGGATCTCTGACAGGAGATCGTGGTAGATGGAAATCGTAATTGCAGCATAGAGAGATTAGCTAATTTGTACACTCGACTGCCTTCTGGAAACAGTTGCCCAAATCCTCAAAGAAGGACTTGTAATCCCGTTTTTATAGTAAATACTTTCATCTATGAAACATCCTTTTCTCATTTAACACACCACTTCGTGCTGCCAAAACATTTATCTACACAGCTCAGGCTGCATTTTACGAAATATATTATACTTTTCATATAACTTTTTATTTATTGGACTATAACCGAACAAACCAAGAAGAAAGTTTGTATTTTTGCACGATTTAAAAGAAGAACTTGAACAGGTGTTATGCACTATACAGAAAAACTTTGTTCGTTAAACTACAATGGATATTATTTCAGAAGGGGTTTTGTGTAGATTATAGTAATTTAAACAGTTGAGATCATGATTCAATTGAAGCTAGACCAACACGGAAAACCTGGAAGCACTGGACGGCCGTTTCGTCCTATTGTGGGACTCCTCAACTTTCATTATTCATCCCCATGCAGATATTGAAATATATGTCGCTACCCAATAATGAATTATGGCGATTTCTCAAAGATTTAGTGACATATTGCAACACAACGAAACATCCCCATTTCAAGCAGGTGTTATTCAAGACATCGATTATTGGTAATGTTTGAAACCATATAACTGAATTAACAAAATTGTCTGAATTCCTTAGATCAAGAGATCATACTAGTCACATATTTTCGTGAAACATTAAGTTTGTAGGGGGCAATATAGCTGTGCCAAAAGTGGAGGACAGTTTTATAGGCCTCTCGGATGTGTTCATTTTCCCCCGAAATTCCTATTTAGACCACGTAAGTTTGATGAACTAACTTCAGTGAACCACTCTCATACTGTATCTACTACCTGAACACGTTGTTCTTTACAACCACGCTATATAGAAAGCATTGTTACGGAAGAAATTTGAAACGCCTAAATGAATAATAACTATCGTTGTGAATACTACCTTTTTACGAGTTTAACTATACTTTGTTATCCAAGATTCGTGCTTGGTCTGTTTATAATTCATTTCGAGATCTTTTGGTCTTGATTTCACAATTGATTTGACGTCTCACATTTTGACTCTAAAAAAGACTGGAAAGAAGGACTCCTGATCAAAATACCAAAGAAAAGCGATCTCAGCAAGTGTGATAACTACAGGGGCATCACTCTTCTCTCAATACCGGGAAAAGTCTTCAACAGGATATTGTTAAACATGATGAAGGACTGCGTAGACGCCCAACTTCGTGACCAACAGGCGGGATTCCGTAAGGATAGATCGTGTACAGACCAAATCACAACTCTACGGATCATTGTGGAACAATCAATTGAATGGAATTCATCACCCTACATCAACTTCATTGACTACGAAAAAGCATTTGATGGCGTGGACAGAACAACACTATGGAAGCTTCTTCGATACTACGGCGTGCCTCAGAAGATAGTCAATATCATACAGAATTCATATGATGGATTACACTGCAAAATCGTGCATGGAGGACAGTTGACAAAGTTGTTCGAAGTGAAGACCGGTGTTAGGCAAGGTTGCTTACTCTCACCCTTTCTCTTTCTCCTGGTGATCGACCGGATCATGAAGACACCAACGTCTGAAGGAAAGCACGGGATGCAGTTGGACGATCTAGACTTCGCAGATGATCTGGCCCTTCTATCGCACACGCAACAACAAATACAGGAGAAGACGAACAGTGTGGCAGCAGCTTCAGCAGCAGTAGGTCTCAATATACACAAAAGGAAAAGCAGGATTCCCCGATACAACACAGAATGCACCAATCCAATCACACTTGACGGAGAAGATTTGGAAGATGTAAAAACCTTTACATATTTGGGCAGCATCATTGATGAATACGGTGGATCTGATGCAGATGTGAAGGCGCAGATCGGCAAAGCAAGAGCAGCATATTTACAATTGAGGAATATCTGGAACTCAAAGCAACTGTCAACCAACACCAAGGTCAGGATTTTCAATACAAATGTCAAGACAGTTCTACTGTATGGGGCGGAAACCTGGAAAACTACGAAAGCCATCATCCAGAAGATACAGGTGTTTATTACCAGTTGTCTATGCAAAATACTTCGAATCCGTTGGCCGGACACTATTAGCAACAATCTACTGTGGGAGAGAACAAACCAGATTCCAGTGGAGGAAGAAATCAGGAAGAAGCGCTGGAAGTGGATAGGACACACACTGAGGAAAGCACCCAACCGCGTCACAAGACCTGCCCTCACATGGAATCCTCAAGGCCAAAGGATGAGAGGAAGACCGAAGAACACATTACGCCGAGAAATGGAAATAGACATGAGAAAAACGAACAAGAATTGGATGGAACTAGAAAAGAAGGTCCAGGACAGAGTGGGTTGGAGAATGCTGATCGGCGGCCTATGCTCCATTGGGAGTAACAGGCGTAAGTAGGTAAGTAAGTAATTTTGCCTCTAAGAACCGGAATACTGAAAGTTTGTTGTGAAATTTCTTGTTGTAATTCCTATCTACCGTGATGTTCTGGTGTTTCTTATCGTGCCAATGAAATTTATTTATCTTGATCCTGGTGTTTCGGTTTTACTGTTCGCTGGTTGTAAGTTGCTAACTTACTAAATATTTGTATTTTGAACTAAACAGAGTCAGAAATTCGGACGTACTAAGTATGGATTCAGTCCACTACTGACTATGTTTGTCGTTATATGTTAATTTGTCACGTTTGGAGTATCCACTTATTTATCCAGGATAAAGCACAATGTAATTAACTATTCCTAACTGCTAAACTAGAACTCATGAACAAATAATGGTACAAGAACCTGTTTATTCAACAAATATAACAACCAGATTCAAATGTACAACAATATTGATACTTTTATTGAGTTCATATGTTTTTCTTTTTTAGTCTCCAATAATTTTTCCGGCTGTCTCCTGTAACGTCTTAAGTAAACAACTGGAAGATTACTTGGTGATACATTGGAAATCAAAAGGTTAACTCAATATAATTCATCGTGTGACTATACACTGCGTGGATTCGTGCTACCCAAAGCAAGAAACTATAAAGATTTAGGAGTCGTATTAAGCAATGATCTCAAAACCAATAGTCACTGTAAGGCTGCTGCTGCAAAAGGCTATAGGGTATTATGGTCAACTGGTAGGTCTTTCCAGTATTTAAATGATGAAATATTTAGATTATTATATCCGATTTATGTGCGACCACATTTAGAATACGGGATTCAAGCAGCGTGTCCTTGTTTCGAGTATGAAGCAGATATGCTAGAAAGAGTCCAACGACGAGCTACTAAGATGGTACAAGATCTGTCTGGTCCATCTTATGAAGGCAGACTGAGACACCTTAACTTATTTTCGTTATCTTACCGTAGAATACGGGGTGATCTAATATTGGCTTATCGTATACTGAACGATGACCTTGGTATTAAAATGTCTTATCTTTTGCTTCCGTCTAGAACCGATCATTTGAGAGGACATTCTAAGAAAGTTCAAAAACCGAGATCAAACCGTTTACGTCAGGAGTTCCGTTTCTCGCACCGAGTAGTGAATTACTGGAATTCTCTACCGGAACACGTAATATCAGCACCGTCTGTTAATATATTCAAGACGTGGTTGGACCTCCACAGTATTACAAACTGCAAGGATTAATATAGGTCGATAGACCTCCTATCCTTATTACTGAAGACTGAAGCTAGACAATCAAGTGTCGCCGCATTTCCAAGCACGCGCATTTTTAAATTGAGTAAACAAAACGCAAAACATCTTGTGACGATTGGAAGAAGTGCTAACACGAGCCTCAACTTTTTGTTCTCTGATCTTAAAACTTTCAAATTTTTGCCAGACTGAGCGTTTTTGAACTAAGGTCTTACGATCAAGGTCGTTGCTGGTTCGCCTAATGAAGATGCCATCAGTAGGTCATTATTCTTCCATCAAATTTGTTTAGAATAAAACTAGTTGGTGTCCTGGATTGTGTTGGTCCATTGTGTGGCTGCTCATCTGGTTCTTGGCTTGGCCAATGGCTTTTGTGCTAGCCATAGTTGAAGTATTCATCATTCCTTTCTGTGTTTGTTTCGAGAAAGCCAAAACGGCATGTGAATTCATCGACAGGATATATAAGGTTTGTGACACTGATTATTTTTTTACCCTGCGGTTCATTCGATTTCACTCGAATGTTAAATAAGGGCAATAGCTTGTTTCCTATATATCGCTTGTTATACGCGAAGCGTTTGGTCTCGACCTTAATATATTAAGGTAATTTTCGGGCGTTCAGAAGTCATCTAATTAGTATTGTTGTGTGTTTCATGAATAGAAACTGTCTTGAATCTTTATTAGCTGTAAAGTTAACCACACCATATAGCGTATTGCTGGTGTTTATATTGAAGCCGTAACGTATTTACCTACAAGAATTCAATTTCTATTCGGTAAGTAATACGAAAACAGGATGAAATAGACCTGAAACTTTCAATTATCACGAATTGGTTTTAAATGTGAGGGTGATGTGTAACAGTTTTGTTCTATTAGCTATTTATATATACTCTATTGATTTATGTCAGCCTATAGTCTGATCTCTGTTTGTGTGCCCCAAATAAGTCAGGTGGAACTCTTTGACAACTGTCTGCCTGCCTTTCAATGAATGTACTGCTATGATCCGGCCAATGTAAATATATAAACAACCTAGCTTCTTGTTTTCCAGAATATAGAAAAGAAAATGTTTAGTCTTTTGGCCCTGGTTGGGATTCAGTTATGGTTGGTACGCTAGTTATTTCATGCTCTGTGCAAATGTTTGCATGTAACACACCAAGTTATTTCAGTTTGTTTGTATATCGAAAGTATGATGCTCCACAATGCTGTAAAAAGCTACATCAAAACAGTACAGCGAAAAAAATCAATCGGTCAGGTAATCAGGCATGCGTAACACGGCCCAACCATGTCAGTCAATGAGGATTCACAACCTCATCAACTGATTCACCATCCTTCCCTAATACCACGCGGCTAACTTCGCCATTACTTACACGATGATCCCAGCAGATGCTGGCAAGGTTTCGAAAGCATATGTGGTGTGGTAAACATACAGCAGTCTGTCTTTGACAGGCGTTTCAGAGAAGTACATTAACCTTGTACAGGCTCTCTACTCTAACACTACTGGTCGAGTCAGAGCTTATGGCAAACTGTCATCGAAATTGGCTACTTCAGGTGGTGTGCGTTAGGGTTGTCTATTTTCCCTATTTTTATTTAACTTTTTCATAGACATGTTTTCAGAGATAACACTTTCATCGTCTAACTTTTCGCAGGTTGATGTTTTACGAGTAGATTCACTTAATGACTTTGAATACACAGATAATGTAGTTGTGTTCGGTGAAGACGCTGACAAAATGTAGTCTTTTGACCACGTTCAGGAACAACCAAGGGACGAACTTACTGTGCAGCGGTTCGCTCCATTCTACTTTGCGGATGTGAAATATGGTGATTAAGAATAGAGGATATTCGTAGGTTACTGGTATTCGATTATTAAATCAGAGATGTCTTGAAAGCACTGTACGTGTGTTTTTGAACCACAAAGTAAGCAATGCTTGTATTAGGAATAAGGTATTAGGTAATGATGAGAAATCAATTAGAGGTAGTGAATCTTCATCAACCAAGGTAGTTGGGACGTGTGTTATGTATGCTGAACCACCGCCTATCTCGATAGGGGTTATTTTCTGGTGTTGAAGTAGGCTGGAAGGAAGCTAGAAGTGACCAAACTACAACGTGACATCAGTTCATGAAGTTACTGACAATTGGATTTGGCCATGTTAATAGGCATAGACTATCTGTTAAGGGTCCGCGTATCTATCATAACCACTGGCTAGAGATTTTGAATGAAATTGCTCGAAATCGTTTGCAGTGGTGCAGGTGCACCCGTTCTTTGTCTTCCCTCAAGTTCTGAGGTTCTAAAGTCCTCCATAACTTTTAATTTCACCGATATATATTTTCCTCTCGAATCGTATCTTCGATGCATAATATACTACAACTGACTGTTACTACCTCCACTATTCTGGGAGTTTGCCTGACAATTTCATTTCTGTGCTAACGAGGTATGGCAGCTTGAATCGATGTACATACGTGTAGGTTCTACATTGTGACTGATTGACTGACCAGTCATTTCAACGCTAACATGTTTTATGTAGGGGTTTTGTAGAGATTGTAGAATTTCCATAGAACAAACCACGAACTGATCTTAGTTAAGCCACCATTGGGTTCAAGAGACTTTGAACAGCTGTTTCGTCTTCTTGTGGTACTCGTACACCATGTGCATGCATGACCCTGCCACGGAGGATCAAATATAGGGTCGGTCTCACGTGAAAACTCGCCCTATAAACCACTGAACTGTCCAATCCCTCCTAGTTTCCAATGTTGATCGCACTGAAACCAGTCTGTGACTTAAACTAACAAGTTTATTTTATTTTACTAACAATCCCAGTTTCTTATGCTGTAATTTGGAAAAAAGCTTATTTGCCTTGAACCTGCCTATCGCTTTTGTGACATGAATTTAGATTTGTGACTGTAGACTCTAATAAGAATTTACTGTAAAGAATATTATTCGCCCTACCCATATACAGTCCTTATTTTGATAAATATAGGAACTTTTAAATAATTAAGAATAGAATATCATAGGGAGTAAGTTACTTCGAGGAATGAAACGTATAGCATGATGTTCTGCTCATGTTCGCGTCTATGCAGTTATATAAGCTTTTAAACCATCTATTATTGCTTCTAACCATAAATTACGACTATCATGCAAACTCTGATTGTGTCTCTCAACACAGCTCGGTCTAACAGTTAGTAACTTTGTTAGTCTTCGTATTCCCACTCTTCACTTTTTACCGACTACTATTGGATTAATCGGTCACTGAGGTGTAACGTGTGTCCCAACAATCCCAATCCATAAAATTTCACAATCTCATTAATCAATTCACTCCTAATCCATTATTCTATGCCGGAAATCAGAACTGCTCACCTAGGGACTCCGTTGTATGCTTGTAGTACTTCGTAGACTCCCATAATCGAAGTCAGAATTCAGAGCTTTCCCTACTCATGAATTCTATTTCAAGTGAGTAGACTGCTAAACAGTGAAATCCTGTATAGTATACTCGACAGGTATCAAAATGTTCCGATCACACCACATGTGGCACAAGTTGGCAGTACCCAACGAGACCTTGGGATCCCCATCAATATTTTGTCAGATATCAGTCAACCTAGGGTGGTGGACTTCATGTCTTTAACCTAATCAATGAGGAATACCAATGCCGAAAATAAGAGGTTGATAAGGTCCTCAAGCTGTATAAGTTGCTCGACACACTCCACTATTTTATTACCAAGTTAGGTACTAACTCAGACCACCACGAGACCCGAAGTTTCTGTAAAAGACTGATTCACCATGCTATGTGTTGAAAAATAAAAAAAGATGGAAAGAAAAGGGTGGAAATAACCGGGGGATGAGAAAAATTGTGTGATTCACTTTCAGCTACCCAATATAAAGGGTGGGGAGAGTTTGCTCTCCCGAATCGCTCTTACAGTCACTGCTTCCTCGTGGCGGGGATTTTGTATGCGGAATCGAGGAGACATAAACTGGATATCCGGTGCTCAGACTGGGTTAGTCGGTACTGTGCATCCACCTATGGGAGTTGGAAAACCGTGATTCCAAACCAATAGTGCACTTAGGCTTCAGGATCCTGAAAGAACAAATGTCGTATGAAACTGTTGTTTGTCACTGGCTACTATGGAGTTGCATCTCCTGACATTGCTTCAGTACACCGTGGATGTGACCTCTGGGTTAAGGAGTCGAGGAGTGGCCCCTTAAGAAATCTACCTGTTTCGGTTCGGGTATTCGGGCAGTATCCCAGGCCACACAAATTCAATGATTTGTGTAGCACATGTATATTTTGGTCCCTCATTCGTAAAAATGTGTTTAATTAAATAATATCCACCGACAGACTACATGACTGAGTGTCGTCATTAGTTCAACTCTGGTTCATCAATGTTTAAAACTTTTCGTGTTACTGATACATGTGTGATATGTGTAGTTCTTACGTTTCCTCAGATCTCTTTTCTTCGGTAATTTGATGATGTATTCGTTTTTTTCAATCTGTTTACACTTGTTCTTCCTCCCGAATCTCCCTGAATGGAACATGGGGCATCTTTGCAGTTGCTCTCTTGATTCTCACGTCTTACATTGACCTTCTGAATTTTTTACTGATGCAAATATGATTGATCGAATTCTCTGTAGTGTAATGCGTTGCGATTGATGTAGCTTTGTGTATGCGTTTGTGGGGGGGGATATTGTGCCACCTATAACCATTTTGTTGAGCGCACATAAATTTGCAAATATGTTACCATTTTCATTCTTTTCCCCCAATCAATCCATGTTGTTTCATGATATCTTCGTATCCGTCGTTGTCCATTTCAACTTTGGTGATTAAGTCTCCCATCAGGATGGTCAGGTCTTTCCCTGGGCACTTCACTATGATTGACTGAAGCCTCTCTTAGAACTGATTTTTATCGTCGTCATTGCTATCATTGGTGGGTGCATAACATTGGACAGGGTTTAAGAAGAAAGGATGATTTCGCTGAATAAAATGTAGAAAGTAGATTTAAAACTTTGGATCTAAGCTAAAACTAGAAGTGAATCAGTTTGCTCCAAAGTAATTAACTTTGAACCAAATTACCTAACTTCTGCAACTACGGATCATGGTAATCTCATGGATCCAAACCTGATAGCTCTCATCTACCAATATATCTCAGCTTAACAGTCGATAGTTTCACGTAGTGATGCCACGTTTTGGTTTGGTCACACCTACTTTTCTTCCAACCTTCTATGTCATCCAACATTGTGCGTCGAGGTAGACGGTGGTTGGACTTACATACCACTTGTTCTATTCGACTCAATCGGAAATAGTTTATAGCTTCATTAGTCAGTTTGCCATCTTTGTTTAATGTACTGCGTATAACTTCAAGATTTCTCGCTCAGTGGTCCAAACGAACCTTAGTAATGCTTCAAAGACATCTTTGATCAACCTGTAAATACTCTTTACTTGTAATGATCACATTTTACAGAGCGAACTGCTGTCCTGCATATTCATCCTTTGCTCAGCAGACAGACATTTCATCTACTCTACAAGTTACAGAGGTTGGGAAAGGCCAATTAGTTTTTCCAAATTCATCTCTAGAATTTCTTCGTAAGTTCAATGTATGACGTGTCTGTTGTTTCGCTACTAATTCAGTGCGAATGGCTGCTATTGAGTCAGTCTCAATTTGTTTTCTGGTTGGCAAGATCTATTTTCTAACGGAATTTTACTTTCCAATATATGAACTTTATGTACTCTTTACTTCCAACGCTTCATGCCCGTCGACCCCAATCACTATTAAGATGTCCTCGGAATAATTTCTTCCTTAAGATTCATTACCAAAATTGTAAGTATTGTTAGAATTGTTTCGTTTATTGTAGTAATTACAGAAGTTACTAAACGTTGTGTTGCTTATTTTTTTATCATAGTCCATAGTTTGACTGATAATGGTTAAATAACACCATCATGACTAAAGCACAAAACTAATTACTGTCTGGCATGTGTTTCTTGTTGTCTTGCGCAAAATATGTAGGTTTCCTTTATTCTTCACATTTTGCTAATTTTTCCTAGCTTTTCATATCCACTATGATGCTAGTTACGTATATCATCTGAAACGGAATTACTCCGCATACGCACTGATATACAAGTGGATCATGCTGTTTCTTCAAAGATTGATATCACGATATTTCTGTTTATTGATTAGTTTTGGTGTATCGTTACAATTAGCTACATATTTATAATTATATAAAAAAACATCATAGGACCTCATGTTTTTTATCTGTTACCATTAATTTACTGTTATCATTTGATTCACTTATATCTTCATATCTTTGACTAAAGTTTATACAGGTGACTCAGATATTACAATTCATATAAGCATGTGTGTTTTTTGTAATATTTCGTGAAAATAATTGTTTTTCATTTGGGTATAACAGTTAGTTAGAAAGACACACAGAGGGACTAATTCTTATGATGATGTTCGTGTGCGATAGATTTTTCTTTGGTAGTAAAAAATGAGAGTTTCTTGTAATGTTTTCAAAAGACCTGTATTTGAATTTGTTTTATTTTTTGAAACTTTTTATATGATCGAAAAACATCGGACATATTTACAAAGGAAATTGCCATCAAGAATAAATAAAATGAATTAAATCATATTGCTTTTAGGTTACACTTATACTAACTGACTCGTTCTACGATCTCTAATGAATCGATTGTTAAAGTTTTATTTGTCTTTCGTTTGTACATTAGCTTCCTTCCAAGTTCTGTCATATTTTGCCATATTAGGTAACAGTATAAACTGTTGTTTTCAGCTTTTGTTTATTGCATTCTTTTGTCTGAGTTTGAAATTGCATCGTTTAAAGTTTGTCAGTATAGTATGAATAAATCGACTGTTTATTTTACCAACTTATTGTATCATTACCCATACGTTTTCCCTATCTTACACCTCTTCTTGTAATCTTTCTTAGCATTTTCGTTTGTTTTCTGAATCTAGAATTTTTTATCTGTGTGGTAAATCAATTGATTAAGTCCTAAATCTACTCCAAAAAGGCAGTAGATATATGTCCTACGTGTACTGATTCACGACAATGCACAATTCCAATTGTTTTAAAAGTAAGGTCAATAGAAAACATAATAGTCACGTCAGAAAATAGTACACGTCTTTCAAATTTCTGATCGTTCTTTTAAGTTATAAACATGAATGAAGTCTTCGAAAAATTTTAAATAGGTTTTAAGACGGTCTCTATATTTATGCAAATGTATTCTTTCTTTTTTTAAAAACTAGTATTTTGTTACACTGTTAATTTTTCTACGTGTATCTATTTTAAAATAAGCGACTGTAACTGAATTCCCAATTTTTGTTTATGATAGACGTATCAGTTGGAATCGAGTTGATACATTGTATGATACTTGCTACTCATAGGATACGAATGCTGTTTTAGTCAGTTTCATGGTGTACGATTGCTTGGAAATCTCGCTAATTACTTAAAGGAAGGAATATGACTAAATTTTACACATGGTTTTCTTGTTATAATACCTACAGTTTACAATTAAAAATGTCACTAAACTAACCCGTTTGTCAGGATCATTTTGTGCGAAGCGGTATCTTCGTAACTAAAACATTTGGCCTTCATCCAGTAAGTTATACGTCTAAACTCTGATTCTCCTGTTTTGTTTTGGTCAGTCGAGTGATATCGTTAACTCTTATAATGTAGCTTAGTGTTAGGGTACACCACAGTATATTTCGGATGCGAGTTGCATCATCTTGCACAACTGTAATTAGATTCAAGTTACATAAGTGCTCTTAGCCAATTGATATTCTCATTTTGAAGGTGTTCTAGTTTCATGTATGTATTTGTTCATTTTATTTGGAATTCGAGTAGATTTGCATCTTTGGGGTTTTTTCTTATCGATTTTTTATTTAGTGCCTATATATTTGTGAGTACTCACTTAGTCCAAACTTACACTCAAGCCTATTCTTTGAAAATGAGAATATTTTTAGTAAATTAACCTGATGTATTTTCAAAACAGTACTGGTTGATCATTCTGATTTTTCAATAACGTGATACAGAAACTTGGTAGGTGTTGGACTACTTGTTTCGAATCTCTATTGACAAACCATTCTTCTGCACAGCATTCTTTATAAGACAGAAAATAGTCTTCAACTTCTTAAAAATTTTCATGACATTTGTAAAAGTAATAATAGACCACTGAATAAAGTAATACATAAAACTAAGTCTAAAACCGTTTAATCGAAGCTGCTGAAGATTTCTATAGTTTTGAGAATAAAGTCATTCATTAATCGCTTGGGCACAAGTCACACTCTTAGTGTAACAGCTAAAGATACTACCCAGTTAAATTCACTATCCATCTTTGCTTTTACTTTCCAGTCGCCTAAACTGAAATAGGTAGGACGGGATTCAATCTAGGGACTGAATATCGAGTTTTTCAATCACTAAGCCACCCCGTCCATAGGTGCTTGCTTAGTCTGTTAAGAGTTTTCAATAAAATCTTTCCAAATTCATCATAGTCATGCTCTTTTTCAGCTTTCGTTCATTAACTGAATACTAAAATCTTATTTTAACAAATCAAAAGATATCCATTTTATATTCCTATCATTTTACATTGACTGATCAGTTTATTTATTCTCCTAAAAGCTTTCTTGAATGCGATTCTCGTACTGGCGCTTCTAATTTAGCAGTGTATGATGAACGGTTTTTAAAAATTATTTTAACTAAGAAATTCATTTACTGAGTTTACCGAAGAGATATCTTTCATCCTCAGATCTGTCTGATCACAAGTGCATAATTATCTATAATGTTTATCGT